CCCCCCCCCCCCCCCCCCCCAATTTTCCCATTAAATACCAAATGGCCCACTGGCCATTGGAAGAAGTGCACTTGACATATTAGTTCGGTATGGAGCTAAACTTTTCCTCGGACAAATAGGTTTGGACCATATTGGCCACATAATCAAAAGTGTTTTCTTTTGTAGGGCTTATTGTATTTTGTACCCTAAAAAATGTCTCAATTCTCACTTTATACCCTGAAAGATTATTTTTCTCACATTATATCCTCAATGTCATAAATTAGTTCCAATATGGCCCTTGGACTAACATCCGTTTCAAATTCTATTAAAAATTGATGCACCACCCACGTGTATTGTTCTTGGGCAAAAATATAAACTCACAATTTATATCTTTGGGTGGCATATGCATTAATTTTTAACAAAATATAACACAGATGTTAGTCTAAGGTTCACATTGAAACTAATTTATCACATTCAGGGTGCAATGTGAGAAAAATAATTTTGCAGGATGCAAAGCGAGAATTGAAACATCTTTCGGGATGTAAAGTGTGAAAATCCCTTTTTAGCATTGTACCTCAAAATCTGGGTATAATTAAGTCTGAAAAATCAAGATTGATAGATTAGTGCATACGAGTAACTATTTCTACTAAGACTGATTTATCTAATTAGTCACATTTATTTGTTAAAAAAATTGATAAGAAATTTAAAAATTCATTATGAGATTTGATATCAGTAGCAATGTTACATACGACTTATACCTAATTTGTATACTACATTATTATCATTGGATTAATAATAGATCTCATTCAATAATAAAACCTATGTAATTAGTCAGTGCTTTCAATTGAATTGTTATTTTTTGTTTGTCAGAATCTATTCTTTTATGTGTCACTAACTTGTCAATTTTTTTAATGTTTTTTCATGTAAAGCTCTAAATTTCAAATAGACATATTTATGATTTAAATAAATTCACAAATAAAATAATAAAAATTTATAATAACTTGCTTCCAAGATTAAATTAAAACTTTTAGTGTAGGAAACAACACCACCTAAAATGTCAGATCAAACAACTTAGTTTATTACAACATAAGAAGCCGCAATTTAAGTTGCAAATCAGCAATGAATTGCCAAAGTAAAAAATGAATAAATTCAAATTCTTGATTGATAGCACCCCCTTTTTTTTGTCAGGAAATAAAATATTGATAGCACCCTCAAATGTTGAAAAATTCTAATGAATTTCTTATTTGCCATTATGGACTACAAAGATTCACACCGTTGTTTTGACAAGTGTTAGAGAGTTACAAATCTTAGGGCTTATCCTTAGAACTTTTTGTTTAGTGCCATGATAAGATATATGTGTGTGTTTGTGTGCGAGAGAGAGAGAAAGATAGAGAGAGCCCGGGGGAGGGGGCTTGTAACATTAATGTGTTGTTGACGCTTAGAATTTGGATTTCATTGTATACCAAATATCTTTAAGACAAACAACGGAGGCCTGCTCAATATAAAATATAACAAATATTTGGCCATAGGTATTTTTTTTAAAAATTATTTGACTTTAAATATCACAGCCAAACTTATACTTTATTAAGTTATCTTTTCGTCAAATTATTGTCATTAAATACACATTTCAAATTATTTTTTTGTATTACGTAATTATTCCTATCATAAATATTGTATCATTGTTAGTTTCAATGTTTTTAAAAATAATAACTCCTAATTTGAGAATTGTACTAATATTAAAATAATTTTTTATCATATATATAGTAACATTAAATAATAACATGCTCAAAAAAAATCGTAACATCAAACAGTAATATGCTCAATAAAAAAACTTAATTAAAAATTTAATTATTGCAGTATTGAGTTTTAATTAATTAAGTTTTATTTAAATATAACTATTGAGAGTATTTTAGACAATGTAGATCAAAATGAACTTATTCGCAAATAAATTTTTTGAGTGAATTTAAGTTCAAATAAGCCTACAAAAATGGACCCACCTCCAAAAGGACCCAAAATATAAAACACCTTGGGGTCATCTCATTTCAGTTGGTCTTGTTCGTTTGGTCACAACAATTGTTTCTGTGATAGGCTTTTTAGTCCAGGCCTTTGGGCCACATCACAATCATGTATTCATTTAACGCATCTAACTGAGTTTTGAGGACCCAAAAATCTGTAAAATGAGGGTCCTAGGTAGCCACCTAAGTGGCCTAGGCCTAGGGTCGGCCCTAAAGCTAAGTCAAGTATAGTGCTCCTAATGTAGAAGCCAAAAATCTTATTAGATACGGTAATCGACCACCTTGCTTCATGCCTATGTACACACAGACACTCCCAAATACCGTGATGAAACTAGGAATTTTTTTTTGTGAGGCCAATATACACATATCTTTTATTGGCGACCACGATATACATTACCAAGTTGGCAAAGGTATTTCACAGGATTAACCAACAACAAACTTAATTGAACTTATTTTTTTTGAATTGCCTTCAAAATGACATCTTATGAAACCATTATCAAAATTAAGTGGTTTCAATGTATGTTTTGTACTATCTTGGTACATTTAGTTTGAGTAACGGTTTTGGAAACGTGAATTCTCTTCGTGATTTGTGCTTTTAGCTGACAAAAGAGTTGTTCTTCAAATCAATTCCAATTCTAGTCATTAGTGCTTGTTTGGCTAGATGTATCGCACAAGTCACCTGTTTATCCAAATGGATTAACATAAAATTCTAAATATCAGCAGAGTTGTTCTGCAAGTTTCATTGTCATTGCTAAACTCCCAGTGCAGTGCTCATCTGTATTGGCCTATAGAATGGGTGTACAATTCTACCTAAGGTAAATAAAAATACTATTTTATGTAGGAAAACCTCTAGCATTTTCTAGTTGTGCGGCAATTTATTAAATTTTTGAAACTTGGTGTGCGAACTCTGAGTTTGTCATGCTGTTATTTTTGCAAGGTTTTTGCATAATTTCATACGTTAAAAGTTAGTCATTACAAGAAAAGTGGGAAAATATGACATTTAATTTTCGACATTTGATTTAAACGCCACTAATTCGTACCCGCTGAAAATTATTAATAAAATTTTTTTTTTGCTTAATTTCTGGCATTTAAGTCAAACACCACAAATTATTAACAAAAATAATAAAAATCGTTTTTTTCCTTAATTTCTGGCGTTTAAGTCAAACACAACATATTTTTAATTAAAAATAATAAAAAACTTTTTTTTTTTCCTCCCCCAATGTTCACTCTAATTTTTCCCCAATTCACTCTCTGGACTGGCCGGACTTCTCTTGCTCTAACTCTCTGAACTGGCCGGACTTCTCGTCGGCTCTCTCTCAGGCAACTACAAATCCCGATACACTTTCAGTTCAGTTGTTCTATTCAACTTATGCTTGCTATGACGCTAACTATTTTTCTGATCGGTAAGCTCTTGATTTGATTGAATATTGATTGAATAACGATCTCTGTGTGGAAGAGAGGAGCTATTGGTTTGGATTGCGTGGGGGGTTGAGCTCCGCCGTCCGAGAGCGAGTGTTCAAAGCGTGTTGCGGTCCTCAGTCAAAGCCAGATCATTGAAGGCACAAGCTTCTGGTTTGTTCATCTATTCTGATTCAGTTCTCGATTTCGTGGCTCGTTGTTTTATGTGAATCTTATGGATTAATTCATTCTAGATTTGCAGTTCTCTATGTTCGTTGTTGATATCATAATTTTATTCTATTCTTCGAGATGATATCATAATTTTATTCTATTCTATTTTTAGGCAGTTATGTTCGAAGGTCCTGCAAGTAGATGACCTAGACCGCCTCCAGTCTCAGATTGTGCATACACTTTGTCATCTCGAAAAAATATTTCCCGGAGCTTTTTCAATATCATGGAGCATTTGCCAATACATTTAGCTGAGGAGGCTAAGATTGCCGGCCCGGTGCAATATCGTTGGATGTATACAATAGAGAGGTGAACCATGATGCATATATAACTAAACTTTATAATGCAAATTCTCTCTCCCATTCATTTAATTCCATTTACCATTGGTCTGTGGTTGTAGGTTTCTCTACACACTTAAATCATATGTGAGGAACAGGAGTCGGCCAAGAGGGATCCATTGAACAAGGATACTTGGTGGAAGAATGTATGACATTTTGCTCAAGATATTTGCATGATGTTGAGACCAGGTCACTTCGACGAGTGAGGAATTATGATGATAATATCACATTTGATGGGCAAGGAGGTTGTCCCTTAGGAAGTGGAAAAGTGTTAAGGAGGTCGTCCCTTAAGAATTTTTTGCTTCGATTCTCAAATTGGGTTGATTATCTTTATTATAATCGTGGGTTTGTGATTTTGATCGTGATTGTTTTTGTGTATCAGTGATTTATAAAATTCTTCTTGCTCTCAGATATTGTTGATAATGCTTACTAGAAGAATTTCTTATGCAATTACTAACTTTTTCCTTTACTGGCTTTGCAGCAGCTTTTATTTTATGTTTCTGGCCTTGAACTTTTGAGTTGTTCAATTTTATACAGATTATTAACCCCGTGAGTGCCAGTCTTTTCAAATACAAATGGTAAGTTTCATAATCTCGCAATTTGTACCAAGGAATTTTTATCATATTTGTTGTTTTTACCCCTTTGTGATGGGTAACGCTAATGGAATGTTTATGCAGCCACATGGGGCAACGATTCATAGTATTGGGATTTAATTAGCACTTTAAATTGTTGGTAAAGTTCTGCAATGCTGTAAATGATGGTGCATTTGAAGTCGAGTTTGGTTGCATAATAAACCACAAACCTATGATGAATGTGGCCATTGTTGCAATGTTACCCTACTGTAATGGTAAAAACTCTCGGCTTTAGTGTTGCCTCTGCTTCCTCGTGCTTTGTTTGCCATTCTTGTCCACCATTTAGTGAATAAATATTTGTTTCTTGTACACATGGTATAACCGCCCAAGGATAAATTCCACATGCTCACAAAATAACTAGCTCGGATACATGGTACCCACTTCCATGAGTTAATTTGATTGTATTTAAGCTGCTTGATCTTCCATCTCATATAACATAATTACCACATGCAAGATATTCATATCATGTGTTTACCCATTTCATGAGTTTTGATTGTATTAAAGCTGCTTAGCTTGATTTTCAATCTCATAAAATTGTTCTTTTCTTGTTTGTTCCAGTGCACACGGATTAGGAACAGCAGCACTGTCAGCAAAAGAACCGGAGGCTCTCCCAGTTTGCGCCATTCCATATGCTTTGACTGGTATATTTGGTTCTCTGATTTGCTCAGTTCCGACAGTCAGACAAAGCTTGCTTTCAGAATTCACTGCTTTATATGGTCTTGTTGAGAGTTCTTGTTAAGTCTTTTACTTTGAAAGGCATCTATGTCTTGCTTTTATTTTGTTGTTTTGTAAGGCGGCTACTGGTATCTTTGCATGTTTTGGTATCTTTGGTCTCTATTGAATTTGCATGTATTGGTTGATGATAAAGGCTAATGCGTTTTGGCTTGGGTAGTGTTGATTTGTTTGCAATTTTGGAAGAAATAGGGCAGCTATAATGAAGTCTTTGGACTGATTGATGGTTGCAGGCTGAGATTTCTCTGTTTTATAAATAAATAAAATTTCTATTAAAAAAAAAAGATTACTGGCGTTTATTTAAACGCCGAAAATTAGTTGCTCATAAATAATAATTACTGGCGTTTAAATAAACGCCGTAAAATAGCTCCGACAACCGGAATTTTACAATGAACTCGTCGATTAAAGAAGCGCTGTTTTAGCGTTTAGTAAACGTCACTTTAGTTTTTGTGGCGTTTAATTAAACGTCGGTAATTTTTTCTATGAAGGTTTTGACAGCATTAAGAAAAAACGTCAATAATAATATTTTGCGGCGTTTATTTCAGTGGTGGCCATCTTCACTTTGTTTTCTCTTTACCGTTCCTATGATTGTTAAAATTATGAATTTTTCTACTTTGGCAATAAAGTATGGACCCTCATCAAAGAGAGATGCCATATGTGCTGATTCAAATCACAATCTTCAAATCATAATCGTCTAATGTGTTCGATTCAATGGTTTTTTTGTGGTTAAATTTCTCTTCAAGGCGTTTCTTGGAGGATTCTGCCGTGACCATGATTTTCATGGAAGTCTATGACCAAGATTTTCATGACGGATGAACAATTGTTGAACATAGGATTAAGGGTCGTTCCCTAGATATTTATAATGCCAAAAGTGAAGAAAATGCTCAACATAGATTGTCCAACTTCTGTCCAGTGCGTCCGGACACGTGTTTCTCCTGTTCGGATGCATCTGACGAAATTTTGATTCAATTAGAAGCCGATTCACAAAATTTTCATTAAATACACTTTTATATCCCTTGAAGTCTAGTTTCTATTGTCTAAAAATCAGATCAATTGGACATTTGAGTAAAAATTTATAACTAGAATACTAAGGTAGTGTCAAATTCATTTCTACCTAAATTTTCTGCAAAATAGGTTTTAACTTTAGAATACTTTTAAACTTCTAATACACCTCATATAACATCTATCAAGAATTTTTGACCTTTTGGATTCAATGGAAACTTATTTTGACCTAAAATATTTATAAAATTATTTAACCACCATTCTCAAACTTAAACATCTCTAAAATTTAATTTACCTCGAAAATCGATACGCTTGAAACTCAAACTTTATAATCAATCTTTCAACAATGATTCTAGGTTTCTACCATCATTTTATTCATCTTAAAAGAACTCATAAGATAATATTATATTTATTTAATTTTAATACGGGGTCTTACAATCCACTCCTTTAAAAAAAGTTTCATCCTCGAAACTTAATCATCGAGGTTGTCCATCTAATTCTAATTGACCTCAAGTTCTCAAAGCAAATTAATCCCATAAGTATCAAATTCAAGATCAAAATAAAACATCATATTCTAAATTTTAAATCAGCATTGCAGTTGCTTAAAGTCCCCAAGATTACCTTCATTCTCAATAATTTTATATGATTGTTCCAACTAATCTTTTTATCATGTATAACTACTAGATTATAATACTTAAATGTCTACTCATCAAGTATCACTTCTCTTTTGAATTTCATAAATCCTTTCAATAAATCTTATGTTTGCTTCTTACATGTAACTTATCTATAAGAATATCAAAACAACTTAAATGCAATTCTGCTATTAGGGTTACTCATCTTTTCTACACTATTAGCATGGTATAACACAAAACATAGTAATGATATTATGGTAAGATTCATCTTGATTCTTAAAATAGACAATATCTTCCGTTTCATCCAAGTAGGATCCGAAGTATCTGCCTTATTGGGACTTTGTCTCTCACTAGCCAAGAGGAATTCACAATCTTTGAAATCTAACAATAATTTCAATTCATAACTATACACTCTCACATAAGTCAATATTCTAGGATCAACTCTTATGTTACATATTCATTTGCAATTTCTTATGGTACTCATTATCTTCACCATTATAGTCATTACTCAAATAGTTCGCTGCGCACTTTGATATAAATTATAATCTACCAATTCCCAAATCAAAACTATCCACAAGATAAGAATTCCCATAGGTTTGAAAGTTTTGAGAATATATGTCAAATTCCACCAAGTGTACAATTGAAACCTAACCACACTTGTCCTCTGATTATAACTTCTAAAATGTGTACGCTAACTATCCATCCAATCCATTCAAAAGAAATTTTAGTAATTCACCAATTATACTACTTAGGCTAAGGGACAAATTATATCTCCAAGATATTTGCTTTTAGTCCCCAATCTTGAACTCAAATCAATAAGTCTTATAATCCCCTTCATAACTTACTTGTATCCAGATTCATACTTGTAGATCCATCTTAATATTTCCACATTATTAACCAACTCGATTGAAATTAATCATTTTCTTTCTCCCAAGTATTCATTCTCAATATCTAACCTTGAGCTAGAATCAATAAAACAAGTAATTAATCCTTAGTGCCTTCCATTAACCTCTCCATTCTGTTCACAATACCTATAATCTTCAATTCCCCTGATTTTGTCTGGTACAAATATATTTATTGTAATATCATAGAAAGTAAAGATAGACTGTCAAGAATCCCAACAATTCTCTCAAATCAATGCCACAAGATTTCTTGTAATAAAATCATAACTAAAACTAGACTCCCAATAATTCAATAAATGTTCTTCAATTTACTATATTAGTGATCACAACCTTAACAATTATTCATAATACTTGAGATAATAACGATATGCTAATTAGTAGGATAACCTTACTCATTTACCTAAAAATAATTGCTTAAAGTTTCTGCACTCAGGTGAACTAATCTGCATACTTATCGACATTGATTCCTTAGATTATATACTTTAAGCATCACAACTAAAGGTAAAGATTTCTTTTTCAAAAGTTATAATCTTCAATATTCACACCAACAATCCTCAACTCTAACTATTAAAACTATCTTTGTGGTGGATTAAAAGAGTAAAGGGGAAAGAATTTCCTAATCACACAATGCAACTCCAATACCTTAAAAGATCCTACAAAATGATAGAAGTTCACACCAACCATTGAAATCATCCTTATTTCAATAATCATTAATCCAATAATATTGAAAGTCAAAGGTAACTACTACAATTTAATCAGGCTTCCTAGATTTCCTTCTTACATGTATATAAGTTCGTTTCCATAATTTGAACTCAATTTTCAAACAAAATTTATAAATACAAGTCAACTATTAACTCCAAACTTAACAAAGAGATTCTCTAATGTTAATACTTTAGAGAGTCTAAGTGTAGTGAACTAAACCCACAATGAAATAAGATTACCTAAGTATGACATTCTCAATGAGTATCTTACATATATAATCAACAATTGCTAACCTCCATAATACTTCTAAATTATTAATACTTCCAAAATAAATTTAATCAACTCCCTATAATCTTTTTAAACCAATGTTGCTAACCTCAAGTTCGTGGTTATGAAACAACTTCTTGTCCATTTAAACAACATAACCCTAATTCCTAGTGTTATTCCAAAATAGGCTATCATTCGAGGTTACTTAACTATATCCCTTGAATTGATCAAATTTGAGAATTTGTACAATCTCATACTATCATTCTCACCCTAGAGGAAACATAACACTTCCATGGTTCCCATCGTAAAAACAAAACTATATTCATTCCTTAATTTCTATGACTTTTGAGTAACACACATAACCTTTCTATAACCTTATTAGTCAAAGCTTAGTCTATCCTAAAAACATCTAAGTTGACCTTACCTCCAAACATCTAATTTTGGTTATCACATCTCCTTCATTTTAAAAAATATTAGCAACACTAATCATAGAATAGAATACTTAGAGTTGACAAGGTACAAAATCATAATCACATTCTATCTTGTTATCCATCGAAACATTTCAATCAACATGTGGGTGTCTCTATATCAAAGCATAAATAGTGTGGAAGCTTGCTTAAGGATAAGTCCTTCAGATTCTAAGAGAAAAACATGACACTTTGCTATCCAAAGAATATCACAATGCATATTTTTGATCAACTTTGGAGAATAAATTGATTTAACTCAGGTATTTCTAGCATGTGTGACCTATATGGTTGGAAAGATATACGAGTTAAGCTTCTAACAAAAAAACGGTGTGAAATTTGGACTTTCCAACACAAAGTTATGGTCCCATTAGTTGAAAGTAGTCTATTTGGATGATAGTTCTGCGACAATTGTCCAATTCAAATTTGGATATCTTTTGCCACTCATTATATCTCATACCCTGTTGGAATGGAAATCCCAAGAGCCGTTGACAGCGCGTATGTATTGAATATCAAAAATTTTTCTTTAAAAACCCTTCAAGGCGAAATTAGGGTTTACCTTTGAGATCTCTTGGGACTGATCTCGTCTCAACACGAATGTAGAACATAACAACAACTATAGCTCGATGAACCTCGCAGTTTTTTGTCGTATATCCCCCAACATCAGAATTCCAATGCAGTGTGGGCTGCCAAGACCTCCGAATCCTTCCTTTCTTTTTTAGCCTCCCTAAAAAAACGTGAGTAATGATAAGATGCTAAAATAGAGAATCTAGATGTCTATATATAGGCTATGACAGAGACCCTAAGGAGAAATAAGGACTGGGCTCCCAATGGCTTAGGATTCCTATGTTCAACCCAGAACAAACATCTTACAACCCATTAATAACAAGTCAGTTCACTAAAGACTTATTATTGATCTTCTAGGCCTTATCTCAAAATTATATTGGAGCTCCTTATTATTAAATACTTAATAATCTCCGCACGTTTAAGATTACAGATGTCCATCAATTAAATAAATCACTGATAATTATATTAAATTGACTTCTTTTATTCCTTGAGACCTTACCACTCAACTTATTTGTCATGTCGGATAATTAAATCCACTTGCAGAGTTTGACAAGAACAAAGCTGATGAGCTTCCTTAAAAGGACATCATCAACTCATTTAAATACTAGGACGTGATTTTCTTAGTTATTTAATTTTCACCATACAAATAA